ATGGCGTTCCCAGAGAATTGTGGTGCAGTTATAATAGTTGTGACGACGGTTGCTAGTCATTTGGATCTGACATCAACAATTAGAATCAGAATGACTGAAATGTCGACGCAAAACAACAACAACAACAACAGCAAAAACAAACAAATAAAAAGCGGAATCAAAGGTACGTTTTCTCTTCACAGGGCGAGGTGAGAAATTATGGTTACAAGAAATGTTCCCTCGCTACAACACTGTTATGATTGCTGCCCAATAAACACAGGAAAAAAGAATACAAACACAGTTGTTTCCGATAAATTTGTTTATTATTATCAGACCAGCGTATAGATAATGACATGAAATCATTTTGCGAGATTTACTTTTGCATCTACAGGGTACGATCCATCAAGAATCCCCGTCTTACTGGGATTAAGAACTAATACAAAGAATAGCGATTTGAGTGGAAGAAGAAACGTAGACTGAGACCGGCGATGCAATTATATACTACATAACGAGTATGTTATGAGTATGAGAAAATACACATCTGCTCGCTTCAACTTCAAGAGTTTGTTGCAGTACTTTTACACCGCACGTGGTCCTCAAGATCACGTGACAATATCTTACACAGGACAACCAACACATCATAACATCCCCCTTCTTAAGCTATTTGGCTGTCTTAATGAGATTATGCTAATACAAGTGAAAACTGAAACAAGAAGTTAACAACTCAACTGTAGATGAATCTACAATACAACTTTTTTACATAACATAATCCTTATGCCAAACCGGAACAGATTAAACCCGAGTAGAGCGACGCGGAGCCGAGGAGGCATTAGTATCGGGTGGGTCTGGTTCCAGGTTAGCATCTGATTCTTTAGTTACACTTGGAGAGTTTACACTGGATTGCGTAGTTACAGACTCTGACTCATCAATGAGATCATCATTTAATATAGCAACAGGTGGTTCCTGAGTAAGATGAATGTGACGTCTATTTCTACGATATTCTCTACCAGTTTCATCAGTGATCATATAAGATCTGGGTGTCCCATGTTTTTCTGTAACTACAGCATGTGACAAATGTTTGTCACCTGGTTTCTTGAACCTCACACTATCCCCTTCCTTGAG